AGGGATGGCCTCAGGGCACTCACCACTACTATGCAAACGGGGTCCCACTGAACCACCTTAAGTGGCCAGACTTACCAGGCCTCCATCACAGGGGACATCCTGGTGCCAAGACCAAGACTCCTTTTAAGGGGCTGGTAGATGCTGTGGGTGGACTAAAAAAGAGGCTGAGGGTGTATCCCTAAAATGGGGGACCCGAGCTCAGGAAGGGACTCCTCCCTGCCTGTTCCAAGAGGAATTGAGGTTCATCCAGAGGGGAATTCATCCAGGGGGTGGAGCCTAGAGAGGGGATAAAGGGTGGGCCTGGAAGGGCAGGGCCTAGGAAGTATGGAGACTAGAGAAGAGGTGGGACCCAGGAAAGTATGGAGGTGGGTGGAAGGCGGCTCAGAGAGGGAAGGGGGTTCTGTGAGGGAGACGTCTGAGGGCCCAGCACAGCAAATGCTATTGTTAAGGAGGGTGATGATCGGAGTCACATGCCACTCAGGAAGTGCCTGTGTCCAGGCTCCTCTGGAAACATCCTCCAGAAGGCTCCTGGGAATATCAAGCTCTGGGTCACTGAGCAAACCGGGACAGCCAGTGCCCAGAGGCAAAAGTGTGCTGAGGCTTTAGGAATGTGCCAGGCCCGCCCTGCAGGAGGATGGTGGGCTGCCTTCTCCCAGCACAGACCCTGGGGAAAGCTGACCCCCTGCTGACAGAGGGCTAAGACCTGGGGAGGCTCAGGACAGCAGTAGGAGGGACTTGGGCAGCAAGGGAGACCCACCTGGTCCCTCATCCTGACCAGCAGGCAAGCTGAGAGTAGCCCAAATGAATGTGTTGGCATATGTACCAACATGCTAACACATGTGAGTGCTAACATGTACACAAAGGGACTCAGCCTCCTTCTGTTTCCTCAGCCTTAACTCCACAGCCCCAGGGGACTCCCTGAACTAGGCCCTTATCCCTTCCCTGTCCCGAGGTGGGCTGGACACAGAACCTTAGCCAGGTGAGTGCAGGGGGTGTGTCCTTTCACCTGCCACTGTCCCTACTGCTAGGGCTACAGATGGACCTGGCCACAAGCCCTGACAATGCCCGTTGAGGGACAGGGTATGGTCAGTGCAGGGGGCCCTCCAGGGCCAGGTCTCTTCTGCTTTCCCCAGACTTGGGCCTGGCTTCCCAACCCTGTCAACCTGGTGCTGGTTATTCTGCTGACTATTCTGCTGTCCTCAGATCACCGACATGGGAGGTTGCACACCCACATCTGGCTCTGCTGGCCCCAGGGCTGGAGTTCTTTCCTGCAGGCACAGGTATTTATGCAGCTGGCTGCCTGGGCAGAAACTCCACTTTCCCCATAGGCGGCTGCAGGGAACCAGAATCTGGGCTTTGGAGTGGGAGATGTCCTTGGGTCTCACCTTAGCCTACTTTCTGGGGCCAGCTCCAGGCTGGCATTCCACCCTCTGGGCGGGAAGCCTAGCCAGTACCGTCACTCTGAACCAAACAGTGAGAATGAGGTCCCCAAAGGCCCACCTGCTGGCCTCTTTGTCAGTACCTACCACCTGCTAGGCCTGTCTGTGCCAGCTCCTCTGGAACCTGGAGCCAAGGCAGCCCCAGGCTCCTGTCCTGTTACTCCTGGCTCTGATGTCATTTCTAGGCTCACCTCCTAATGATGCTGTGGACCCTTCCTTGACTGTCCCTGGTTGGCTGTGGGCACCTCAGTGCTGCTAACCACTGAGTGAGGTGAGGAAATGAGGGGTGGGACTGGGCCACGGTGAGGGTCGTGGAAGTGGCTGGAGTGATCCCTGCCACAGAGTGAAGGAGAGGGACAGGCTCCAGAAGAGCATGAGCAGGAAAAGCCTGGGTGGAGACCATTCAGGATGAGAGGAGGGGGCCCTATCTGAATCCCCAGGGAGCTTAACTGGCAGTCCCCCATGCCACTTTCTCTGGCTGCTGCCAATGTCTTTTTCAGAAATAATACTTGAGGCCTCACTGGCCTCAAGGTCCCTCAGTTGTGCCCAGAGTATTCTGAACCTGCAGGTAGTTCAAGACAGTGTGGCTCTGGAGAACATACAGCTGCAGAGTAGAGGGGTACTGGGTCAGACTCCCTCCTGCAGCCCATGCTTCTCCTCACATCCTGTCTCCAGGGCAGGGGCCTTGCTTCCCAGCACTTCTTTGGGGTCTAGGCCCAGGGTAGAGGGATGCTCCCTCCCCAAGTGCCTCAGAGGCAAGAACCTCAGGCTGGGTGGTAACAGATGTCTGAAGACACAGCCCTCCAGGCCACAGTAATATAGAGACATGGAGGGCAATTAGGAAGCATGGACAGGGCTCCTAGCATCCCACCTGCCAGGCACTTTGCCCTTCCCTGGAATCTGAGCAGAACCTTTGTGGGCAGGTTTCACTCCAGCTCAGCCCTCCTTGGCCAGTCTCATGCTGGTCTGCAAACATTCCCACACCCACCAGCCCCTCCAAAGAACAACCCATCTATGGGCTTGGGGTGGGACCGTTATGCTGGGCTCAAGTGGCCAGGACACAGGACCCTCCTCTTCCCAAGGATGACTCTGACCTACAAAGTGCCAGTTTGTAGCCTCCTGGGGTCTCTTGAGGTGAGTGGCCAAGCAACACCCTGCAAGATATTCTGGGTCCTACCTGCAGGCCCTAGCCAGGCTGCAGAAAAGCCTCAAAGAGGTGCCCACATCCTTCTATCTCAGGCCGTAAGGGGCTTGGATTGTCCCTAGAACAATGCAGTTTCAAGTAAGCCCTCCCCCGACTAAGGTAACATCCTGAAAAGAGTTGAGGCTGCATTTGATGAATGGGTCCTTAGCAGAGTATGCATTCAGGGTGGGCTGTGCTATCTGCGTTTGGTGCCCCAGCCAGGTGCCAGGCAGTGGGGATCCTGGACTCTGCTGAGGGGCTTTTCTCTACCTCTCATTGCTCTGTGCCCTGCACATGGGGTAGGGTAGGCCACACACACTGGAGAACAGATGACCCTAAGAACGGTGAAAAGGCTGGAAGAGAGAAGCTCTAGAGTTAACTTGGTCCAACATTAAACTGGCCCTGCACCCTCACTGCCACAGAAGCTGCTAGCTCAAGTCTGGTAGTGAGCTCTTATCAGTGTTGACAACATGCTGGACACCTGGAGGCCAGAACCACTAGCTACTAGGACAAGCATACCATCACAAGCCCAAGTAAAGCTAATGACCCAAAGGGATCAGATGTGGTGGATCCATGGGTGGACTCTTCACACTGGGTGCCTAGCCTGGCATCTTCTAACTGGAGTCTGTCGGCTATGGTCTGTTGCTGGAGCCCACTAGGGCTCAAGGCCTGGGGTAAGAAGACAGCAGGGCTTCAGGGCCTTTTCTGCATTAAGCAAAACTTGATTCTTAGCCCCTGGAAATGTGACCTTGGGAGTCTCAGCTCCTATAGGAGCAGATCGGACCTGGAGCTGCCTGTCTCAGGTGCTGCTTCCCAGGCTTTGTCTTCCCTGCTGGCTGTGTGTTGGTCTCACTCCTCTCATGAGGGGTCTGTGGGGGCACTCAGCCTACTGGTGCTGAAAGGGTCCTGTCTGCCAAGGGCTCCAGAGGGTGCAGCCCCGTTTCTCTGAGGTACAGAATAGCAGTGTCCCCCACAGGCTGTGCCAGTTTTAGTCATTTGTATCAGGTCTTTGTTTTAGCTGCCACTGCTGGGACCTTGTGTCTCTTGAGGACTCGATTGCTCCTGGTCTGTTAAAACAACAGCATGGGTGGGATAGAAGGATCTCAGTAGCTTGGGATGGGTTCTCCTCAGCATTTGTCTGTCTCCATGAGCCAATTCTGGCCTGTCCCAAGCTGCAGGAAACATCAGCCCTTTGTGTGCTGGGCTTCCTTGGGCTTCTGCTACCGCAGGGTGGAGTCTTGACAGGCCTCCAGGTTAAACGTTGCTGATGCGGGCCTCCACTCCAGAGAAGGCAGAGGAGTCCCTGGCTCTTTCTGGGGGTCTCTCTCGCCTGACGTATCGTGGCTTCCTCACTGAAATGGGTCAGAGACAGACTGGGTCAGAGCCAGGGACAGCTCAAGTCTTGGTCAGCACTAGAGGCTCTCAGGAGTGTGAAGAGAAGCTGCAGGACATGAAACCCATACGGGTCCGTTTTCTCTGACCAAGGAGGAGCAAGATATTCTTACCAGGCTCTGGCTTGTGCAAAAAGGAAGCTTCTCCTGATAGAGGCTGTGGAAGCCAAGCTACTTTCTGTCAGACCCCCAAGTCCAGTACCCCAAAACCTGGGCATGGATGAGGGCCAGGCTATCCCCAAAGACAGACAAACAGTTCACATGTGTATTATGCATCACAGGGAGCTGGATGGTGCTCTCAAAAGATAGGATCATAACCTAAGCTGGAGTCTATGAATGTGACTCATTTAGAAAAAAGGTCTGTGCAGATGTGATTAAGTTAGGATTTCAGATGAGCTCATCCTGGATTAACTAGGTGGGCCCTGAATCCAATGAGGAGTGTCCCTCCTAGGAGGGAGGCAAAGTCACAGACAATGCGACCAAAAGCCAAGAAACTCCTGAGGTGCTAGGAGCTAGAGGAGGCAGGAGGCCCCCTGAGCCTCAGAATATCCTTGACTTCTAGCTTCTGGCCTCCATGGTGCTGAAGGTGTACAGGAACCAGTCTACTGCAGAGAATTCAAGACAAGCACTATTTGGAACAGGGCAGATCTAGCTTGATTAAGGAACTGCTTTGTCCCCAAAGGAGAAGAACATTGTCACCTTTCCTCCATATCAGACCTCTGCACAGTGGAGAGACCATGGCCTAGGGAACAAAAGAATCCACTCTGGGGATCTGTCACTTAGCTTCTCTATGCCCATGGCTTCTTCTATACAATGGGTTACAATTGCTCAGGTTAATCTGGCAGAGCAGGCCCAGGAGCTGACCTGCTACTTGCAGCTCTCAGGCAGAGTAAGACATGTGCACGGCTAAAGGGGTGTTAGGAAGGGTCTGGCCCTGTTCTGTTTTCTTCTCCCTCAGTTCCATCACTTGAGCAAGTGGGATGTCATGAAAGCCATGTGGGTTAATGGGGCTGGGGAACTAGTGCCTGTTGAGTGCCTGCTTCTTTCTGTTCCTGCCTCGTGGAGTGGTATCTTTGGGACCCCAGGAAGGCAGCTGAAGTCCCAGAGACAGATCTGTGTGTCTGGGGACACGCCTGTAATCTGGTGTTTAGAAACTGACCCAGAGACAACCCCCCAAGGTGACGTGACATTGCCTTTACCTGAAGACTGTGGTGGGGGAATCATCGCAGCCTTGAAAAGAGAAAGGCAAAGTGAGAATTTGGGTGGTCTGGAACAGGAAACGCGGACCAGGTTGGTCAGCCCAGCCGGCACAGATTACTTACAGCTTCACCATGCTGTAGGACAGGGGCTAGAAGAGGAAGAAAAATAGCGGACCCTGAGCAGCAGGGGACTAGTCTCAGACTCTCAGCCACAACAGCCCCTGAAGGCACCCAGTATTGGCTGAGGGTGGGCAGAGAGGGGTCCCCATACAATTAGGCAGGGCCTTCTGAGCACCCCAGGGTCAGCCACCCTTCCCAGATCTCCTCCCACCTCCCCAAAAGCCTGGATAAGCCGCATTCCTTAAGAGTTTGTCCAGGCTCAGAACTGTCAGGGGCACAGTGTAGGGAAGGGGGTCCCCTACATGCTCATCCTCAGGAAGTCTTTAGCCTCAGGTGCCAAAGGCTGTGGGCACATCCATTAGAGAAGTCTTAATGGGGTCCTGGCCTACTTGTCTTTTCCCTGTGCTTAAAAGTCCCTGGACTGTCTAAGCCCAAAGTCTACCAGGGATGCCAAAAAGGCAGAGATACTGGGTGGACAGAGGGGGTGAGAGCAGAACCTGGCCAGCAGACAGCTGGGCTTCCCATGCCCAACTAGCAGAGCCCCTGTAGAGCTGACCTTGAAGGATCATCCTAGCCCAGGAAGGACCCCCAAGTTGCAGGGGCCCAGTCTTAGACACTCTGGTACAACAGCCCTTGAAGGTACCCTACATTGGCTGAGGATAGGTAGAGTGAAGTACCTGCATCTGCTCTGTGGTCCCCCACAGAGCTCCAGGCTCTGAATGGGGACAGGCTCCCATCAGGGACCCTGCTGGCAAGTGTGGAGCCTTAGTGCAAGGGGAAAGTACCTCTGTCTCTCCTGTAGAAGACCCTGGGGAGCTTCCTGGAACGCTTGAGGTAGAAGAACCCAGCCACAGAGAGGATGAGACCTGCACTGATGAGAAACGTCCCCAGGAAGAGAGAGGCTGCCACATGAGGACCCCCTGCAGGGAAACCAATGGTTGATAGTGGCAAGCCTGGGCCTTGGAGGACAGAGTGCCCAGAGCTTTTCACTAACCCTGGGGCCCACCATTCCTCAAATACACTCGAGTCCTCACAGGGTCAGCCACAGGTGGAGGCAAGGACTCATGCTTGGCCATGGGGCGAGGGATGTTGCTGGCCCTCTCACAGCCCTGGGCTTGCTATCAAACTCTGGCCCCAGCCCCTAAGCAGAAGGGGTTGAAGCCTCCAACCTGGCAGCAGATATTTCCCTGCACCTAACCTCTCAGACACCTGGAGCTGCCCCCTGCCAACTTCTACCTGCTTAGGACCAGGGCATGCTGATGGGCTGAGGATCAGTCAGTGACCACCAGCTGGGGTAGGCATCGTTCTCACTGAAACATGAACATCTGCCAGATATATGGGCCTTGTTCTGTCTGGCTGAAACTGTGCTATGGGAGGCCAGCCAGAGACCTGTGTATACTGGCCTAACCTTAAAGGCTGCTGCTCTGTGCAGCTGGCTTCTGCAGTCCAGCTTAGTGCTGGGTATGAGGCCAACTTGGAGCTCAAGTGCACTTTCTGGTGAAGGAAAGGATGGGTTCTGAGATGGCTGTGGAAGAGCCAAGCCCTTTCAGAACAGAACTCAGGGTCTAGGATCCAGGTCCAACACTGTGCTAAAGGGTGAGGGTCTGGTATAATGCATCCTTCACAGATTAGATCTCAGAAGAAAAGGCAACCCTTGGAGCTGGATCCCACTCCCTGAACTCTGTAATCCCACTGCCTACACCCATCCTCCTCTCCCAGCTCCCTCAGTTAGACCATACCCTCAACTGGCCACACACCCCACCCTGTCCCACTCACTCCCTCAACTGGTCATCCCCTTGCTGGGCCATACCTCCAACTCAGCGTTACCCTCAGTCCCCTTACTCTACTAGATCTTCACCTGAGGTGGGCTCAAGACAGCCCAGGAGAAATACCATCACCTGGAGAAGGGGTCTGAGTCTGCCCAAGGACAGGACAGGAAGTGTAACAGGCATTTTGCTGTGGCCTGTGTGTTTACAAACAGTTCTTGGAGGCCTACACCCTAGAAAAGCCTTGGAATGGGGCAGTACAGACTTCAGATGGCTTCCAATTCCCAGAGGGCCTACAGGAGCCCAGGTCACTAGGGGCTAGTATGGGTATGGAACATGGCTAAGGACAGCATGAATGTGTACCACTAAGGGCTTCTACTATCTACAGCCCTTCTTTTATTTTGGGTGGTACTGGGTTTGAACTGCTAGGCAGGTGTTCTATCACTTGAACCACGGCCCCAGCCCTACTGTAGCTTTTCTGAGACCAGGAAGTGACCAGCCCCGCCATGACATCCCAACACATGCCCCGACCCAAGCCAACTGACTTCAGCCTCAGTGGCTGCTGAACTCTCTTCTGGCCATTCTATGACCAGGATCCCTGCCACACACAGTCCTTGCAAAGTAATCTTGACCTGGACATGTCCTGCAGTAGCTGGAATCAGCAGTCAGTGTTGGCACTGGCACCAGCTGTAATGATGCTCCCCAGCCCCAGCACCCAAGCAGAAGCCCAACTCTTGCCTGGTAAGCTGACAGACTTACCTAAATGTGGCTGTCCAAGAGTCCCTGTGCTGTTCATGGGGAACTGTGTGTTCTGGCCGGCAACTATGGGAGAGCAGAACTGAGGGGAGGCCTGGGTTATGCGAAGACCCTGATGAGAACCCCCACATATAGCCTAAAGGGACATCTCAGACCAGAGATAAGAAAACAAGGTGATAGTAGGGTTGAGCAGCCTTCACCCACAGCTGTCTCTAGGGGACAGAGCACTTAAGAACAGAGAGCCCCTGGGGACTGCTCACTGACAGGCAGTGCTCCGGGGTAAAGTGGGTCCCTGCTGCTGTGGGAACAAGGTCAGTGACTCCCTCAGTTTCTTTCCAAACTTGATATGGAGACTCTGTGAGGCACAGGGGGATTTGGAGGGGCAGCTGGGTGGAGACATACAGCTTCTGCACTCGGAGCCATTGAAGGCTGCGAAGGTCTCGTTCTGGCACCGGACACAGCTGGTGCTCCCATCCGCATTCCAGTGTCTGTAGCACCCTGCACCAGAGGAAACTATTTCTCAGCCAAATCAAGTCCTGCTCAGCTCATGGTCTCTTGGAAGGTTTCTGTATTTGAGTTTGTAAGGTAACTGTCAACTCAAGAACACGAATATTCTGAGAGTTTGGGTGGAACAACAGGCTCCAATTCCGAAAAAAGAAACAAACTCAACAGGAAGCACTTTGAGCCCCTCACCTGGGTTCCTGTGGGTGGGTACCTATTGCTAAGGAGGAAGCCAAGTCCTTTACTAGACAACTCAGAAGACCATTCAGGGAGGCCTGAGATGGGAATCTAAAATTAACATGTGCTATTTGAGAGCCTGACCTCTACCTATCACCATGACCTTATCCACCATGGCCTCTCCAGGACCACAGCTTCCAGGAAAAGATGTCACTCCTAGACTCTTGCTTTGCCCCACACAAGGCAGGCATGACCTTTAATCATACCTCTGCACCCTTCTGGGGGTCTCTCGAAAGACCAACTCAAATTTCCATCCCAGGCCAACAATACCACCTGAGCCTCAACCTCACCCTGCCCAGGTACTGGGAGTGGCCCAGTTCAGCTGGCCAATAGTTTATAGGCAGCTGCCTTTTAACTGGCTAGAGCGCCCTCAAGGCTGAGGACTGTCTTACACCTTTACTTCTTTCCAACATCCCCAACATTTAACACAAAGGCTGAGACATTCATGTTGACTCTAGGTGCTGAAAGCCAGCACCGGACATTGGGCAGTTTCTGGGCCTAAACCACAGGTCCTTTATAATGAATGTTAGGACTTTTAATCTAAGCAAATGGACTGTGGTGAAATGAAGGCCTTTCTGCAGTGACAGGCAGCACACTGACACCAATGGATGGCGGCCTGAGAGGAACACTGGCCTAGAGCAGCTCCACTGACACTGGGCAAATGCACCATGCAGGAGCCAACTAACCACTCAGTTCTACTTGGGTAGAGACTGCCTGCTGCAATGTGGAATCAAAGTGAGGAATAGGCCTCCTACAGCATCCTGGCTCTCCTCCCCTTAGCATCACAAGGCACAGGTGGGCCTTGTCTACTCAAATCTGCCCAGGAAGACAAGGAGCACAGGTTCACAGTACAAACCCTAGCACCAACACTGATTTTCCCCAGAAGCTTCCACAACCAGGCTCAAGAAGAGTTGCCACAAGACTACAGGCTGTATGCAGGGACAGGTGGTAGCCAGACAGCCAGGCAGTGGTCCTCAGTCTCTTCACACAAACCTAACCATCCCCACCTCTGCACCCATCCCCAGAGCCACTATGGACCTCAGCACCTCATGAGACCCCTGCCTTCTATGGGCAGCATGACCTCAGTAGAGCTGCATGCACCTACATGACCACATCTCAGGATAATTTGCACTACCACAGGAGATGTCAGGTTCTGGGTACTCCTGCTAACATGGAAGAACCCAGGGGAATGGTCTCTGGTCAGAGGGCTGTGGCCCAAGGCTCTCAGTGTCCTCACATTTCCTCTGCTATCACTAAAAAGTCACATCTTCCTGTCTACACCATGCCCACCTCCACATCTTAGCTAACCCCCTTTTGCACCTGACAAGTGTCCTGAACACCTGCTCCTATCTGAAATGAAGGGACAGTACTGAACCATCTCAGCTGAGTCAACAACAGCTCAGCATTACTCCAAGACCTGGCTGATGGCCTCTCTCCCCAAGGAGACCTACTACCTCAGAACAGCTGGGAAAATAGATGTTTTGGCATCTTCTTGTTTGAGTCCTCTCTCCGCTGGCTATCCCCAGACAGCTTCTTACAGCCCTCACTTCAAATTTCTGGCTTTCTCCAGATAGTCAAACCTGTATAGCCCCTGGCCCTTCCATGGAGCAAGGGCCTGCTGACATTGGGGCAGGACTGTCCTCTGTAGTGGGCTGTCCTATGCACTGACAGTGATAAGTAGCAATCCTGGCCTCTACCCCCAGATGCCAGTAGCATACAACCTCCTACCCCCACATACACCAGCTGTGATGATAAAAAAAAAACCCACGTCCAGACACTACTGGATGTCCTAGGGTCAGGACACCCATGAGAGCAGCTGGGTTTCAAGACCCTCCACCCAACCCCTAGCCTGGCCTCCTTTGCACTCTGCCTCCTCTCAATGCCCCAGCCTATGCTGCCCCTAGTCCCTCCAGCCCTGCAGCCACAGTTAGCCTTGACAAGGAGAAAGGGTGGGATGGGGACACTAGGGGAGCTGGTGAGTCAGCAGCTGGTCTAGTGTCTGCTCCTGGCAATGTGGCTTACCTGGGCCACACAGGCTTGTTCCTGGGCAGGTGGCATTGATATCCACCACATCCACACAACACTCGAGCTGCTGGGCCTGGAGAGGAGACAGTGGTGAGGAGAAAGAGCAGACAGTGTGCAGCTTGTGCTGAGGGCAGCATTGGTCACAGGAGGGCCTTGTTACATCTCAGCACCTACAGCTCTATCTCTCTAAAGTCAGTGTCAGGTGACACTGTCCTACTGGTCCAGGAGCAGGTGAGAACTCCTAACATCTGCTGGAATACTGGTGTGGACAGTCCCTAGGAAAACCTTGGCCCTAAACATAAAGATCAAAGCCCAGGAAGGGCTGACAGGAAGCATTAGGGCTATCCCCTCTCAGGGCTATCCCTACAAACACCTGGACTATAGCTCCCATACCACATGAGCCACTGCCCACTTTCCTCCTCCTGTGGGCCCCAGAACAATGGTTCTGCACTATGTAGGACATGTGGCCAGTGAGTGAGTGATGACTAAATAAGTCACCAACCTTGAGGACAAGCTTTGTCTGTGTGTCCCATATCAGCAACCAGGTATCTCAAAGGCTAAGAAGGAGGGGCCCCAGAGAGTTGATTTGAACTGGCCCTAGAGGTCTGGGCCATGGGCAGCCTGGGGTGTTGGAGCTAAGAACAAACACACTGACCCAAATACAGCACCTTGACATTCGAGAAAACACAGAAGCAGGTCTCTAACTTTCCCAAACCCTTTGCCCCAAGGCAGGCCAAGGCCCTCATACAGAAGTGCCTTCCCTGTGTGCAGGAAAAGAGGGCCCTTGTTTCTGAAGACACAGGGTCAGACAAGAATCTGAACTGACTGGCCTGGCTAGGTCCCTGGTTCATGACCCTCTATCCAATCTTACTTCCTCTGAAACATCAGTCTTCCCCAAACCGGAACATAAACACACAGGTGTCCCATGGGACTCCATTTCCCAACAGAGGGTCCCATGTCACATAAAACTGAAATTTGCTTTCCTCTTCTTAGTAGGTGTTTCACTCATGAAATGATGACTGGGGAAAAGACATCTCTCATTTCCTACACAGGACAGGCATCCCCTCCCATCTGGGGAACCTTCCCACACTACATGTGCTCTGCATTTGTGGGTTCTTCCCCTGCCTCTCAGGCCTTGCTGGGGAGGTGGTCAGGGCCCTTCTTTCATGTGGTTTCCAGCCTCCACCTCTTACTTTTTGGGCCACAAGTAGACCAGGGTGGGGCATTCCAACCAATGAAACTATATTAGTCACCTACTAAAAAGTTAACGTGTTAAACCTACAGCAATGTCACTCCAGAAACTCCTTCATGGGAAAGGACAGGTGTCTTCCTAGTTCATGACAAAATGTAGCTCACTGGGAAACCCAGATCCAAGTATCTACCCTACACCCCCAACCAAGGACTTGGCGCCCATCAAAGCATCTGCACTGATCCTGGGGCTTTGGTGCTGTTCTCTGAAATTCCACAAGTGCCCCTCAGTTAGGGTCTGCAGCTTGGCCCAAGAGGGTACCTGACCAGACCGGCATTTTGAAGAGGTCAAGTCACACCCTCAACCCCATGTCCACATGCAGCATCCAGGTGCTGAGTGCTGCATTCACAGTGTGTACAAAAGGTCTGCTCACTGACCACAGGGCAGGTTGAACAGCCTCAGGTGGGAGCGGGGTGTTTCCAGAGTAACTTCAGCACATGTGGTCATCAAAGCTAGGCTTCTGTTTGTTTGTTTTTGAGTTAGGGTTTTACTATGTAGCCCCAGCTGGCCTCAAACTTGCGATCCTCCTGCCTCATCCTCATAAGAGCTGGGGCTACTGGTGTGTGCCACTATGCCCAACACTTCTCTATTTCTTGTGACCTAAGCTTGGTGAATAGTGAGGGGTGTCTAAGGAGTGAGAGGGATGCAAGGCAGTGTCCATGCCACCATGGGAGGGGTCAAGGCCCAGTGTACTAGCCTTGACCACTGTACTATCCTTGGTGAGGGATACCCCTCGGTCACCCCACCATGCAAGATCCCCACCCCAGCCTGCTTCAGGGGCTTAGAGGCCAGAGCTGCTCACATCAGCCCTTTCAGGCACTAAAGCAGCACACTACAGTGTCACTGGCTTGGTAGAGTCACTTCCAGGGTACCCTTTTGAAGGGACCCCTACAACCACCACTGCTCTCCTAAGAAAGCAGAAACTGAGGTAGGCAGCTCTGGGCTTCAGGCAGTGCCAGAGGATTACTTTGCAAAGACTCTATGTCAGCTCTGCAGGTTTTGCAGAGAAACTTCTACAAGGCAGAACAGAACAGGTACAGGCTCCTCTGACCCCAGCAGTGGACTCCAACAGGTCCTTGGGGCTGAGTATCACATTCTAAGGTCAAAGGGTGAGAGACCATTCTGGCAGAAGGGCCCACTGCCTCTGTGGAGGCTCCAATTTAACTTCCAACTCCTGGCCACACGAACACATGACAGGGACACTAACCTCGCTTTCTGTGGACTCGTTGGCAACTCCTACCAGGAGGCCAGCCAGGAGTGTGAGGTGCTGCAGTGCCATGCCTGCAGCCATGCCAGGGAGCCGAGAACAGCAGTGTCTGCATGAGAGGAAGTGCCATGCCAGAAGGAAGACAAGGGTGTGAAGGGGTAGACTGGGCCACAGTGGGAAGGTGGGACTGTTATGAGGTGGGGTAGGTGTGCCATGGTGGGGAGGGTTACAGCGGGAAGGGCAGGACCAAGACAAGGAGTCATTGAGTGCAGAGACCTGGCCTTCCATGGCAGTAAGTGAGGTCCAAGCACCCTTACCTGTCCCTCCAGGATGAGAACTGCAGACATCGGCTCCTCAGTGGATCAGTGGTCAGTGCAGTCAGGGCTACTAAGCCATGCAGAGTTTTCTAAGCCTGACAGCTGTATCCTGCAGGCTGATGATCCAAGGCCTGAGGATCAAAGCTGATGAGTGAGGTCCACTGCTGGCCCCCCAAAGGACAACTTCCCAGGAAGGATCAGAGCCAGTGGGGAAAGATGACCTCGTGCTTCCTCCAAAAGATGTGTGGTTGAGTCCTGGAAGCAAGGTCATTTGTGCCTCTGATCTCCCAGGACACAGAGGCACACCTGTCCTAGGAAGGCCCTAATCACATCTTGAGCATTGTTACTCAGAGTCAGTTTCCCCATGTGTGGCCAGGGACTACAGGGGACCTTGGGTAGTACAGTCTTCTGCCTTTATCAACTTGGGGCAACAAGAGTAAGAACACAAAACAGTGGTCTAGAATAATGCTAGAGCTTAAAAACATCTAGTCACAGGATAAAAGATCCAGAGGGCAAACAGGAACACACACACTGAAAGTGGACTTCTTAATTCTAGAACACCTGACTCCTGACAGATGCATGGCTTTAGAAACTAATATACCCTTTGGGTCCTGTGTCCACTATTGCACCCCATTTCTAACATGACAGAGAAAAACCTTCACCCAACAAATACTTTGAAGTAATACCATTTGTGCAGTTTTTTTGTTTTGTTTTGAGACAGGATTTTGCTGTGTAACCCAGGCTGGCCTTGAACTGAAGATCCTCCTGCTTCTACCTCCTGAGAATGCACCACCAGCCATTTCTATAGTCTTAATAAATTTCTGTTAACTCACAAGGTGGCACTTTTTTTTTTTTTTGTGGGACTAGGGTTTGGACACAGGGCTTTACATTTGCAAAGCAGGTGCTTTACTGCTTGAGTCATGCCTCCAGTCCATTTTGCTCTGGTTATTTTGGAGAACAGGTCTTACAGGCTGGCCTCAAACCACAATCCTCCCAATCTCAAGCTCCCAAGTAGCTAGGATTACAGGTGTGAGCCACCAGCACCTGGTGACAGGTGGTCCCCATAATCAATCAGTCCCAAATATTCTGACCATAAAAGTTACCTCCAAGAAGACTTTGTACTTGACAAAGCAGCTGCTGCATGGACAACTTCCACAGCAGTGGTCCCTGCTCACTTTCAGGTGGGTCCCTGGAGAAAATATGGAGACAGTTCAATTAGGGTCTGGGAAAGGAAGAACTATACTCTGGACTAGGACAGTAGGAAGCTCTTCATCTTGGGATTCTTGGGGAAGAGGACTGTATGATGGGTTCACACAGCCCATGAAGATGAAGGCTCAGAAGAATAAAGGTTCTAGTCCTGGGTGAGAATCTGTCCTGTCATTCACTTTATGTTAGATTCAAGCCAGGGCCGTGGGCAAAATGACCACACTACATGTGGGAAGTGGTGCCCAGGCCTCCAGGACAACCTCCTGTGAAGCCTTGTCCAGAACCCCTACTGCCCACACTGGTACACACATTTTCTGAGTTTCAGCCATTCACACTATTAAAAATGGATGCCGTCCGGTTCGAGGCATGGCTCAAACAGTAGAGCACCTACCTAGCAAGCGCAAAGCCCTGAGTCCAAACCCCAGTATCTCAAAATCAAAAAAATGTATGCTGTCTCTTAATTTACATCTTTGAGGGTTTTACCCCTGGGTACTGGGATTTGAACTCAGGGCCTCATACTTGCTGGGCAGGCACTCTACCACTTGAGCCACTCCACTAGCCCTGTTTTCTGTTGGGTATTTTCGAGATAGGGTCTCTTAAACTATTTTCCCAGGCTGGCTTCAAACTGTGATCCTTCTGATCTTTGCCTTCCGAGTAGCTAGGATTATAGGCATGAGCAACTGGTACCCAGCCAGGCTTCCCCTTTCTATGGGACACTCCAGACATGGAACACAACAGCTGAGCTGAAATTTCAATGGATATTCAGTCTAGGATCAGTAATTCAGCTTCTACAAGGTGAGACTGGCAGAGTATTTGTTGGTCTGCTGCCTCTGTCTCCCCATGGCTGCTAGTTTTGGGGGGAGGGGAGATTCTGAGGCAAGTACTGTTACCACTCAACTTCTACAGTTCCATGGTGACCTAGGCATCTTCCATAGAGGAATGTCTTCCTTTCACAGTCTGGATGTTCTGGTCTAGCAGCTTCTTGATGAGACATTTTAGAGATATGGTGGCTGACCTTCCAACTGAGGGGAGCATTTGGGAGGTGGCTCAAGTAAAGACATGGGGTGAAAGTTCTGCAGGGCTTTGAAGACACTGTGGATGGCATGCCCCACTATCTTTTCTTCAAGTATCTTCAAGATCTGGCTCTGTGCAACCCTGGAAGCTGTAGCACTCACCATGTACTTTTCTTTCTTTTTTTTTTCTGGTGGTACTGGAGTCTGCACTCAACTTCATGTTTGCTAGGCAGGCACTCCCCCACTTGAACCATTCCACCAGCCTTCCCCATGTGGTTCTTTGCAGGTACAGCTCCATCTAGCCCAGCAGTCCAGGGAGTGGCAGGCAGGGAGAATGTATTGTCATAAAGCACATCTCAGTTGCAGTTGACTATGCTATATTGAGTCGAGGAACTAACATGTCCCTTGGGTCCTGTGCCCACCATCTCACAATCAACTGCCACCATCATCCCTGGAAAGTTCTGGAATACTCCCAGAACACTTATTCACTGGCCCAGGGTGGAGTTCTGGGTGGCATTCTTCTAAAGGGCTTCTTTTGGGGGTCCCCCTTCTGGGAACAGAAGGCTTTTAATTGTTGGACGAACATTCTGAACTCCCCCAGCAAATCTATTTTAACCACAACAGTCTTCTTTGAAGGGCAGGGGTCAATATCGACACTGCTGCTTTCTTGACCAGGGACTGCTCTGATCCACTACTGGAGGCAGCTGTGTTCTTTTGGGGGAAGGGAGGGATCTTCTAAGTGCCATCTACCCTCTGACTTTCCCTTTTCTTTGGTTAACTCCTCCTTTGTAAGTTGTGAAATCCTCTTAGATAGCAACATACTCATGCCACATAAAGGTCATGCTTCCCCTACAAGATGATGACCAAATCTCATTTTTCATTTTGTCTATTTAACATTTGTTCAGCAGAGACCATCCTACCCCAGGGAAAACTCCCTTTCTGTTCACTTGCTAGGAAAAGGCATCCCCAGGACAGGCCAAGTCACAAAAGGACTCAAATGCCACACTGTGCTGTTTTATTTGTACCCTGTTCTTTTTATGGCTAAATGATGTTCCATTGTGTGGCTATACCTCATTTTCATTACCCATCAACTGCTAAGGGGTCCCAGGGCTGATTCTAGGTTTTGGTGGTTGTGGATAAAGAGCTACAGACATTCCTGTGAAGTGCATGTGTGGATATATGATGTCATTTCTGGGTAAAGACCAGAGTGCAATGTCTTGGTCACAGGTATATGGAAATTTAACTCTGAGAAGCTGCAGTTGGTAGTACCTTTTGCCTTCCCACCAGCACAGGAGGAGAGCTCAGCTGCTTTGCAACCTGGTCAACACTTGGAATCGTATAATTGGGTATACAGCAGTATCTCATTGTTATAATCTGCATTTCCTTGACGACTAATGATTATCAGCATCTTTTCATGTGTTCATTACCATTTATGTGCCTTCTTCAGTGAAGTTCACATTTTTTGCCTGCTTTGTTTAATTGGAGTATCTTCCTCTTAATGAATTCTAGTTCTTTATATATTCTTCAATCAGATATATGCACTGCAAATATTTTCCCCTATTCTGTAGCTTGCCTTTTCATTTTCTTACTTTTCTGTTGTTTTTTGAGACATCTTACTATGGAGCCCAGCCTGGCCTTGAATTTACAATCCTCTTGCCTCAGCCTCCTGCTAGGATTACAGGCCTGTGACACCATACTCAGTTCTTATGGGTATCATTAGAACAGCAAATGTTTTCAATTTTTATTATGATAAAATTTTCAATTTTTATTTTGATAACATTAAATGCACCCATTCTTTTTCTGTGGTTCTTGGTTATTCTGGCCTAAGAACTCTCTACCTTGACCTCAAAGTCACTAAGATTTCCGGTTTTCTTCTAGAAATGTCATAGTTTTGGGCTGGTGGAGTGGCTCAGTGGTAGAGTGCATGCCTAGAAGTGGCATAGCTTTAACTTTTATGTTTTGAGTTACTTTTGTGCATGGCATAAAATAAAGGTCAGGGTTCAATTTTTCCACACATATATCCAGGTTTTTTGTTTGTCTGTGGGACTGGGATTTGATCCCAGGCCTTCACACTTGCAAAGCAAGAGAGACATACCTCCAGTCCATTTTGCTCTGGTTGTTTTGGCGATAGTGTCTCCCAAACTATTTGCCAGGGCTGGACTCTAACTGCAATCTCAGCTTCCCAAGTAGCTAGAATTACAGGTACCCGATTACATATATCCAATTGTTTTTTGTTTTTGTTTTTGGTGGGACTGGGGTTTGAACTCAGGGCTTTGTGCTTGCAAAACAAGTGCTCTACAGCTTGAGTCACACCTCCAGCCCAACATATATCCAGTTGTTGCACCATTTGTTTCTACATTGAATTATGTGAGCATCTTTAAAATCAATTGGCTGTAGTGTGATGGGTCTATTTCTGGACCTTCATTTGGCTCCATTTATCTACATATCTGCCCTTTGCCGAGCCCACACTAACTCCCTTGCTGGAGCTGTACCTGGTGCTCAACAGCAGGTCATAGGAGCCCCACTTTCTGTAGTAACTTTGGCAGTTCTAGGTCATGTGTGTGTACATATTTGAGAATCACCTGCTAATTTCTACAGAATGGCTTGCTGGAATCCTGACTAGGAGAACTGACCCTAAGCAATGCTGAGTTCTCCACTCCACAGACATGCTGTCTCCCTGTTTCTTTATATCATCTTTAGTTTCTCATAGCAGGGTTCTAGGCTTTCACTGATGAGGTTGTATACATCTTTTGTTAAACTTACCATTAAATATTTTATTTTTAATATTATTATAAACACAAAGGAATTTCTGATTTTACTTCCCCAGAGTTTGCTGCCAATATATATTAGAACAATTAATTTTTGCACATTAACCTTGATTTCTAAGATCTTATTATATTCACTTAACAGTTCCAGCATTTTTTGAAATTTGTTTAGGATTCTCACACAAATAATTACATAATCTGCAAATAGTTTTGCTTCTCCAATCATTATGACATGAATTGTTTCTTCTCTTGCTTTACTGCAGTGGCGAGAACTTCCAGCACAACACTGGTCAAAGTGGTGAGAGAGGCCTCACGCTGCCCTGAACTTTAGGGATCCAAGCAGAGAGCTCAGTATCTCACTGCTAAGTGTGATACTGCCGGGGTGGGTCTTTCACAGATGCCTTATCTCGGGCTGATGAAGTTTTCTTCTAGTTCTGGTTTGCTGAGGTTTTTGTTGTTTTTTTTTTTTTTTCCTTAATTGTGAAAAGATTTTAAATCCTCTCAAATGTTTTTCCTGCTCTCCTCTGTGGTGGTTGAGTGGTCAGGATTTGGGACTCTCTCAAAGGCTTTTTCTGCATCTACTGAAATAGCAGTTTGATCACAAGGTTTTCCCCTGCATTAGTACGGCGATTACATTGACTGATTTATCACTGTCCTGTAGGTTCTAGCCAGTGCAATAAAGAAAGAAACAAAATAAAAGCCATAAGGATTATAAAGGAAAAAGTGAAACTCTATGCAGATGATATGAATATTTACATTCATAAGGAATATACCAAAAAAATAAAAAAATAATCTATAACTCAAAGAAAACCTAACAACGTTCCAAAAATATAAAGTCTAAGAAATCAACCGTATTTCTCTATACTTACAATAAATAATTGGAAAATGACACAAATATAGTCTATACTGGCATTCAAGAACACTAAAACCATTATGAATTTAATTGAAGATGTGCAAGACCTGCTCATTAAAACTATAAAACATTTCTGAGAGAAATTAAATACCCAAGAAATGTAAAGCTAAATCATGTTAATGGACTGGAAAGTTTCCCTAAGTTGATCCCAACAGACTTTTTTCTCTTTCTTTCTTGAGTAATTGACAAGTTAACACTAAAACTTACAAGAAAATCCAAAGACCCTTGAATAGCCAGAATAATTTTTTTTTTAACTTTTTTGGTGAGAACAGGTTTTGAACTCAGGGTTTAGCACTTGCAAAGAAGACATTCTACCACTTGAGCCATACCTCAAGTCCATTTTGGCCCATTTATTTTGAAGATGAGCTCTTGCAAACTATTTTCCTGAAATGGCTTGAACCTCTATCCTTCCAGGTAGCTAGAATTATAGGCATGAGCCACCAACTAGCAATTTTTTAAAAGACAAAAGACATACCCTCCCTTCAAGACAATAAAGTAGGCAGGTATGGATACATGCCTATAATCCCAGCACTTGAGAAGTAGAGAGGACCGTAAATTCAAGGCCAGCTTGGGCCTCAAATTCAATATAGCCTGATGAGGGGATAAACCTATCAAAGGAACAAAACAGAGAACCAGAAAGAGATTCTCACACACAGTTCTGTGATTTTCAACAAGATGCCAAAACATTTCAGTGGGGAAAGTTGTTCAACAACTGGAGTTAAACAACTGGATACTCATTTGGAAAGAAAGCTGCACATAGACTCCACTTCACATCACATGAAAAATCAAATAGAGCTGGATCATGAAGTTAAATGCATTCCAGTTGTGGATTCTAGCAACCTTCCAGAAGGAAACAGGAGTATCTTCATAACTTTTTCTTTTTTCAGTACAGAAGTTTGAACTAGGGGCCTTCACCTTGAGCCCTTTTTTTGTGATGGTATTTTTGAAAGAGGGGCTCATGAACTATTAACCTGAGCAGCTTCGAACCTCAATACTTCTGATCTCTGCCCTTTGAGTAGCTAGGATTACAGGCATGAGCCACCAGTGCCCAGCTCTTCATGACTTCTTTGGTGTGAGAATCAACTAAATTGGGTCTTTTCTGTCAATAAGCTTAGTTGGTAGAGAATGAGACTCTTAATCTTAGGGTTGTGGTTTTGACGCCTTTTCCCCTTCCCTCTGCCCCAGTACCATACTCAGGAACATGTCTATCATTGTGTGGAGATTAGCTAATTCCCAGTTGTCTATGTGCTCGGTAGCACTAGCCATAAACCTTCTGTCTTTAAGCAGAGAACTGTTTGTCATCAGATGTTCTAAAACTCAAACTGCTAGTTTTATGATAATCATCGTCCAAAGGAATCTCTGCTTAAAGGCCCCTTTGGCCCACAGGTTAATTATATACTTGGTGCTGCCATTTCAGGTCAAACAGCCATTTCAGGCCTCAGTTTTCCTCAGAAACTGCTTTGTCTTTAAGTACACCAACCCAATTAAGTTTCGTGTCTATGCTCTCTAATCATGTCTGCTCTTCCCCTGTGCCCTCCCCTAAACCTCAACCTTAGTCAATCACAAAAACTGTGAACCTGAGCTTCCTCCTTTAGAGCAAAGAGGCAGTCCTTCGGTAGGGATAAAAACAGAGGCCGTTCTTCCATCCGGTGTGTGTTGGCTTGTTTGACAAGCTGGAGGCACACAAACGCCATTCTGCAGAAGTAAATTTTGCCTTGCCCATCAGCTTTTGAGCATGCCTCCGATCTGTGATTGCAGCAGCACCCAGATATTTCTAACATTTGGGCAGACTTTTCGACAGTACACAGAAAGCACCCAAGAAAGTGAAACAACTGAGTAGCTAAATTTCACTGGAATTCAAAACACCTGCTCAGGGCTAGGACTATAGCTCAGTGGTAGAGCGCCTGCTTAGCATATGTCCCATGCCCTGGGTTCCATCCCCAAAACCAAAAAAAAAAGTTTGCTCATCAAAAGACAACATTATAGTGGACACAAGACTACATTTGTCTAGACCCACAGAACTGTGCCTTATAAAGTGTAAACTGTAATGCATAAAAACAGATAAAATCAAAAGTATCAGCCAGACAGTCAAAGAAATGAAGACGTGATCAGTCAACCATGACATCATAAACATGCTCACTGAATACACTCATTAAGGGATGGGGAACAGCTGGCCTAAGGAACTTCAGAAATGGTGTTTTAAACAGGGCACCGGTGGCGCACACGTGTAATCCTAGTTACTTGGGAGGATGGAGATTTGAGGCCAGCACAGGCAGATAATTCTCAAGACCCCATTTCCAAAACAACCAGAGCAAAATGGACTGACAGCATGGCTTAAGCAGTAGAGTGACTACTTTGCAAGTGCAAATCCCACTTTAAAAATGGTTTTGAAAGAAACTGTAAGGCAACGTAAACCAAACTTAAACTCTGTACTCTAGTTCGTAAATCTGTTTCTTAGAGAGCTAGGTGGCCAGTACAGGTGAACAATTTTGAAACTGCTTTGTATACACACTGGGATTCAGTAAGTAAATGGATGGCAGACAGCGGGTGGAAGGTACAGAAAAGCACGTTACAGATTACAGGTTACACACACACACACACACAACCAGATCTGTACGTTTAAGTCCATCCACTGAGAGGTCCTAATCAATGATACCCTTGTAGCAATAAGAATACTCAAGTCCACATTCTGGTTTCTAAGGCCATCCTCCAATCATAGGAACCAAGGTTCCTTGGAGAAGTGGCCGATCCTGGCCAATGAGGCGTTGGGTGCTGGGAGGACCACCCTGTGAATAGCAACCACCTAGGGCAGGCCATGTAAACGCTGGCAGTAAATGCAACTCCTGTGGCTGAAAGGAGTCAGTGTAGGTGGCTGTTAGTCTTCTCACAGTTCTGAACCTTGGTGGACCCAACATAGGTGGCTGTGGTCCACACTGTACCCACCTAAGTGGGAGTCATTGTCACAAGAGAAGGAGCCAATGTGAAAGAACAGCCCAGGACCAATAAACACATGCCTATCAACCTAAAATTCAATCCTATGCTTTGATAGAAAGCAAATGCAGAAAAGTATCTGATTGGCCATAAAGGAAACTTTCCAGTGTGGTCTCCGGCTGCCACCTAAGTGGGGCTAGACTGACTGGAGCCTATTCAGCTAGGGCTTCCCCTAGAGGATGCAGAATCCTCAGTGCCATGATTTAAAGAAGTTATTTTTTAAATGAGCCCTGTGATAAGTCCAAGCTAACAAAGAACAATGGAGAGGTGGGGGAGAGGGGTTGGGGGGTGGGGAGTGGATTGGGAAATGTCTTTGGGTTCCACAAGATGCTGCCTGCTCCAGGCAGCTCAGGGGAGATGGACTCAGACCCATCAAAACATCCGCTTGCTCAGCTTTGGGGGGGAAATATTAGGGGCAGGATGTGTGTGTGAGGAAAAGATATTGTCTGCAAAATTCAAATTTTATTTCCCTTCTCTGAGCTTCTAAAAGCTCATGACCCTAGCTGGACACAAACTGCTGTTGAGTGTGTCTTAACAGGGAATGGAACTTGAGTCATCAAGTAAATTGTCAAACTTCCTCTGTGGCCTGGAGACCCTGGCGGGGACCTCCAAGCCAGCACTTTTTGCAGGGTTTCCCAGGTTAAAACACAGAAGAACAGGCTGGGGTTGGGAGTGAAGCTCAGTGACAGAGGATGTGCCTAGCAAGAAATAGAAAAAGGAAAAAGGAGGCCTCAGTTCTGCCTTCCCTGTATAGAACAGTAATACTAAAAGAAAAAAAATTGGGCCAAGTTTGACATCTTCAAATTTAGTAGTTAAGAATCCACTCAGGAAAGAGTTGTGGGGGAGAAACCGCCCTTGCGGAAACGCGGTAGGCAATGTAAACACACCGCTTAGAATTAAATTACGAACCCAACGCCCGCTACACGTCGTGAAACCCACAGCGCACGCCGGACGGACTACTTCGCGGAGCCAACCGACTAAAGGAAGCCCAACAGCGCCGAGAACTCGCGCCCTGCCGGGCTGCAGAGTACTTCCGCGCCGCCGGCTGCCTATCTGTCCCCGTGTCTGTTCCTCCATCCACCCCCTTCTGCGTTCGTCTGCGCGGCCACGGTGCTCAGCTCTCTGTTCCGCCCGCCGCGCGCAAACACCGCAGAACGGCAGCGGAACCGTAAGGGAGGACGCCGTCCGCTGGGTCAGCGAGACAAGGCGCCCGTTGGCCACAAGACCTTGCTCCCGCAACCTTTGTCCAGCCACCGCCCTCGTCCCGCCCAGTCCGGCCCAGGTCTGCCCAGGCCCTCACTTACCCCGCGCCCCGTGGATTCCGCTTTCGTACCCCCCGCCCTGTGGGTGGCCGCGCGCAACTCCTGGGACTTGTAGTCTCTCCATAGCCCCAGCCCAAACGCGGCTCCCGTAGTAAACTACAACTCCCGGCGGCCCCCGCGAGAGCTGACCCTGGGTGGAGTCCTCCTAGGTTCTCGCGAGACAGAGGGAGCGGCGTGCGAAGCATCCCCGGGGAACGTTTTCTGAGTCGGCCTGTCCTCGAGTAGAGTAAACTAGAAGAGGACTACATTTCCCCTGATCTCTCGCGGCACGCGTCGTGGGCGTTCCTAGGCGGGCGCGCGGGGGAGTTAGGTAGAGGAGCTGGCGCGGGGAGTCTACCAGCCCATCAGGCAGGCCGTGATGCCTACCGCGGTGCGAGCAGATTTCGCCCAATTCTCCCTTCCCTTGCCCCTCAAATTAAGATCCCAGATCTGCCAGCTAAAGCCAGATATCCTTTGAATATTTTACCTGCTCAGTTTGTGACTGAGGCAGTTAGGGCGCTCGCCCGCCTTCCGGTGTGCCCTGCGCATCAAGCAATTATCCAATAGAAGCATCCTCCCGACAGATGCCATGTTTAAACGCACGGAGAGCGCAGGATCTGATTGGCGATCGGCGTGCTATTTCATTTCAAAGTGAACACTTATTTTGTGAAGTTCTGGTGACGGCTTTAGTAAAAGCTGGGCTTTCTGCTTGGTCTTGGACTCTGACCCCTCCCAGCGTGGGAGGCCAATCGGGTCTGTCCTGGTCCGAATCTCTGCCACTTTGTAGACTTCGGGTGGCTTGGCTTCTTCAAGGCATCTGTTGGAGGGCCTGGCCTGCACCGAGGCTGCTTTCCCATCCCCATCCCCTTCCAGGCGCACTCAGCCCTGCCACAGAGTGACTGTGCCCTTTGTAGTCCAGCAAGTTACAGCTTCCCTGAGGTGGAACTGCCCCGAGGGCAATGCCAGGAAAGGGCACTGGGATATCCTGAGAAAAAAGGAAGCAGGTATTTAGCTGCTTTCTATGGGGGCTTGTTTTCCACAATGGCCAGAAGCGGCCTCCAATGCAATGTGGTTGGTGACCTTGGCCTGGACCAGGAAGAGAACCTGGGCAGATCCTGCCAGGACCCTCTCTTCCAGCTCTCCTGAACTTCAGCCTTGTATGAGTAGCTGTGAAACACACCCTGGCATGACCTGTGTTTATCTGAGCTAGTGGAGCCGGTTGGATGGGTTAGGATTCTTAGTGCTACCTTGATTCACTGTTCTCTAGAACTCTACCCTAAGGCCCGGTGGCTCTGAGGACTCAATGGGGAGTGGTGGGGAGAGCTGTGGGCGGCTTCCTCAGCCAGCCTCAGTGACCCCTGGGGATGGCTGGACTGTCTGGAATCATGGACTGGCTTCATCCCAGCAGGGTGACAGATAGGATTTCTGCTTGTGTGGTCTTGGGCTCTGCCTTTGAGCTGCCCCAGAGAAAAAGAACAGCTGTGTGCTGCCCCCAGATTTAGGAAGGAGCTCTGAGTGCTTCTAACCATTGCCTAGCACAAAAGTGTTCCCTAAAGGCAACTGCTCTCTAATGGTGCAGCTCTGATAAAACCTGAAGACAAGATTGTGGGTGGGAATGCGACAGCTCACATGCCTATCTGTGACACTGATAGCCCACAGGATGGTTGCACATTGGAAGTGGCCAGCAGCCACTGCCTAGGACAGCACTGTTCTGCCTCAGGTGGTTTCTGGGGACCCTGGGCCCAACCTGCTAGAGCTGAACTGGTTTCCACTTTCTCAATCACTTTCTCAAGACCATGGAAGCCAGTGTGTTTCAGGAGTGTACTGTCACCAAAGCTGCTGTTACAGCATTAGGTCATATTCTAGTATATCATTTATATCACAGGTTGACACTTTCACTCTGCTGCTTCTAAGTAAAATCAAAGGTGGTTCCTTTGAAAATGTCACCAAAGAAACATGCTGGATGCATTCATTTTTGTCTATTTTGTTTTGTTTTGATTTTTGAGAGAGGCTCTCACTGTGTAGCCCAGGCTGGCCTTGAACTCTCACTCCTCCTGCTTCAGCTTCTTCAGTGCTGGAGTGATGGGATCACAGGTATTGCCGTCATGGCTGTTCTTTTTCTCTTTCTTTCTAATGTTCTGGGAATAAACCCAGATTAACATGCTAGGCAAATGCTTTATCACTACTGAGCTACATCCCCAAGCCCACATTTAATTTATTTAGTGAAGGTTATCTATTTTTCAGTAAGCTTTGATAATTTTCTGGGGTTTGAACTCAGGGCTTTGCACTCACAAAGCAGGTGCTTTACCGCTTGAGCTATGCCTCCAGTCCATTTTGCTCTGGTTATTTTGGAGATGGGGGTCTCACAAATTATTGGCCTCAAATCAAAATCCTCCAGATCTCAGCCTCCAAAGTAGCTAGGATTACAGGTACCCAGCTGACTTTGATAATTTTCTATCACAATGCCAAATGTGAATTTTGTCTTGTTGGCTCTAGGTAACTTGTAGCCATGTAATGTTCTTGAGCTCTATTCTAGTGTGCATTAAAATTACTTGGAAACACTTTAAACCTTTTAAAGCTTCCTGAGAGACTCTTCCTAGGGCTGATTATTCCCCACCATTGAGGCAAAGCCCTTCTGCGTTCCCTACCAATTGCTATATCTGCCAACAGGCCCCTTCCAGCCAATGTGAACCCCTCTTGTCCTCTGGTGGTTCTTACCAGTCTGCTTGTGTGGGTGTAGGTTCTGTTGTGTTTTCTATGGCCTTGCAAACCAGCAGCCCCTCTGTACCACACTCTCTTGTTTGCTGTTCTGTGAATTATAGTCCCATAGATGACTGGGACCTTCAGCTCCACCTCAATTTAGGGTCCTCATGAGTCCTGCCAGGTCCCTTCCCTTCCCTACAAACTGGAAATTCCTTGAGGCTATAATCTGAGGCGGTGGGAGGACTCAGCTCAGTTGTTCCTCATCTGCCATCCTGGGTCTCTTGTTGCTTCCTACATCTTGTCTGGTGTCAGTTGGTCATTGTGGGAGGCAGTCTCCTTGCTGTGTCTCCACCTTTGTCTAGAAGGAGAAATCTACTTCCACTTTTATCTCCTACCTATCCTTCCAACTCCCAATTCCAGCTCCACAGAAGGGAAAAAACCCTTTGAAAGTGAGAAGTGTTGCCTCCATTCCTTAATATAAGTATGCTGGCTTTGTAAACAAACAAACAAAAATCTGTAGTTTTGGCTATGAAGCACCTGTGTAAAACACTGTTTGTTGTTCCCAGCCCTGTTCCAGGACATCCATCTCTGGGTCTTCAGTATCACGGTCACATGGTAGGAATGTGAGATGTTACAGTGACCAAGCCCTGCATGCTTGCTGGACTTCCTGAAGGTAAAAAGGGTTGTGTGCTATATTGTCATCTTTATACTTGGTCTTCTGGCACTTGTGCATTCCTGAAATCCACTCTGGGTGTCCAGATGCAGCAATGTATCTCCTGTGTCCTCTGTCCTGTGCCCCTTCTGGACCTGGAGCTATTAGTCATCACCTGAGAGACCTTGACTGTCTCCTCATCTGGAGGAAGCATGCCCCCCAACCTGGGAGCCTCCCGAGAATGAGGTACACTGGCCAATTTGGGGACTGTATAAAATGCCTGCCTCCACCTTGTCCCATGTGGGCAGTGTAGTTTCTGTGGGACCCTGGCACCTCCAGGCCAGGGAGGGCTCTGGTGCTGTTCATTTCCAGGCCCTGTCATGACTCTTGCACCTCTCCTGAAACATCCAAGGCACTCCCACCCCCATGTGTACACCCAGATCGGGTTGTTTTTTGTGTCTTTCATTCTGGGGTGTGTGTCAATAGGCTCCAGGCTCCCTGCCATATCCAGATGAATTTGTCTCCTCCTGCTGCAGCCAGATACTGGCTATGGTTCATAACTGTGTTTCATTTCCCAGTTCCTTTCTTCTATCTTCTAGTTACCACATTTAGTGTTTAACATGCTGCTGTTAGCATTTAGTCTGGGAATTCCTTTTGCCCAATGTCCTGCAGACCTGTCCTTAGCCAGTGCTCAGACGTCACCATGCAAGAGTGGCCTGTCCAGTATTAGGACCGGGGGATTCCTCAGGGATGCCTCTCTGGGAACACAAGTTGTAGCACACGTGCATGTCCCCACTTAACTTGTCTCCCTGAGAATGAAAATTTCTGTACCCGTATTTCTGAGTTGTGTCACCTGCATAACTCTCTAAGGCTTTGTTTTGTGCTCCTATAGTGCTTCTGATTGAAACCCCCCTCCAACTCCAGCCTCCCTCCTAGTGGATTGTTTGTAGGGACAGTTCGGGCCTTGGCTGTGTTAGAGCTGTATGCCTGGGTGTGTTGCAGTGTCCCCACCATTCAATCACCATGAGCATCACCTCATCCAAAGTATCTGAACCTGATGAGTAGGGCAAACCCTGGCTAGAGCAGATGTTGCCACCTGGCAGCCAGGTGCCGGGCTGCCGCTGGGAAGTGCTTTGACCTATCCAGGTGTTGGGGTCAATACTTGGTGCATCTTACACGAGGTGAGAGAAGTTGCCAGACTCAGAACTTCAAGGAGCTAGTCTGGGTGCTTCCAGCAGCCAGGGTCCAGGAGCTGGGAATGGGAGGGGGCACCATGTGTCTAATGCTAACCTGATGCTGACTTCTGCCCACAGTTGCAGTGAGCCCCTCTTCCAGACTGCGGTTACTCAGGTCTGGTCTGCCCTCCCCCTGCCTGGGAGGGACCCAGATACTCCTGTCCGGCTCAAAGAAGCAGGGTGCTCAATCAAGCCATGTGTGTGAGCCCCAGGGAAGGTTCAGAGAGAGAGCCTTCTGGGCCCCAGTCTCTGGGGGAAGGGTGCAGCCCCTGCAGAGCCCACCTCAGCACCCTTCCTCCCTGGACAGGCTCCTGGCCTGCCATCCCAGCTGGTCTCGGTCAGAGCTCTCTAGGACATTTTAAGGAACCCACACTCCCAAGAATGTAAAGGCAGCCAGACTCCACTGGATTTGGTGTAAAGCAAGGACATCTAGAGTCCCAGCAAGTTGT